GTATCTAAGACGATGTCGATCGATATGTCGGTTACTATATTGCGTGCCTTCCCCAACAGCCGATTATTTGTATCCCTTTTAGGCGATCTTCCAATATCGTTTAGCATAGTTATCCCACGTTTCGCAAGTTACTTTCCACTTAAAGATTGCCTTGGCAACAAGGTTACAAAGTAAAAGCGCATGATTTGTATTGCCGTGTATACCACTTGGAGATTTTGGAGCTCAACTTCCTCTCTGACCTCTTGCCCGCGTCGTAAATAGCATACTGCCAGCTGAAACTGGAAACTAAGTGTGCCCACATTTGGCTAAATATAGCCCTGGTTTAATCACTAACAAGGAAAATGAAAAAATATATATATAATACTTTTTTTCGTCTTTTTCATTTTTCGGCATTATCAACATTGAACTATCATGTTCCGTATTTGATATATTTCACTTTATGCACTGCTCTGAAAATTTAACTGGCACTTTGGTACAAATAGTCAGGTCAACGCTAGCGTGCGCTCTTTACTTCCGACGAAAGAAAAGATCAATCATGTTGACAATTTCTCGCAATTTGTAATGGCATGGACATTTGCATATCGAACTGATGAGGAAATTTCATAGAAAAAAAAAGACAAAAACAAAAACAAAAGTCGAAATTGGCAAATACAACTCCTGCCGCGTCGTAGAGTGTACCAACGATTTTCATTCAAATTTTGCCCCAACCTTCAGATCATCGAAAAATCAAATTGTCTTTTTGTCTCCGCGAAACGGGCGAAATCGAATGAGGGAATAAAAGGTGGTTTCTCGTGCTCTGATTTGATATTGCACCTGGAAAGTGTCTACCTGAACCTTAGAATGTTATTGGCAATCATCATATGAGTGAGAAGACAAAACACAAATCTGCGGTAAGTTTCCTCTCTACCAACAACAAATTTTGTTGTTTTTTTGCCAGATCACATAGTGTATTTGTGTGTAAAATATTCAAGAAACCTTTTTAACCTTTAAGAACTTTACTGAAGTAGATAAAGTTTAAGAAAAAGGTTACAAAACATTTATTAAACGATTGTTGTCTAAAGCATCGACACCTGATCAAGACGAGTATATATACCCGATCAGCAAATTTTGTTTTTTTGCCAGATCACATAGTGTATTTGTGTGCAAAATATTCAAGAAACCTTTTTAACCTTTAAGAACTTTACTGAAGTAGATAAAGTTTAAGAAAAATGTTACAAAACATTTATTAAACGATTGTTGTCTAAAGCATCGACACCTGATCAAGACGAGTATAAATACCTGATCGATATTTAGTACGTTTTCTGTATATACGTGTTGCATGTATAGTTTTTAGTATGAATTCCCTTGCCAAATTTTTTTAAATCTCCTTTACATAGTAGACGGATTCTCGTTAGAAAACCGAAGCACTGACACTCAAATTAATTCGATATCTCAATGTGAATGAAAAGTAGGAGGTTATCACTATAGTAATACGTTAACCAATTTAATAAAGCGCCGTGTTAAAGTAAAATTTTCACAGAAAACAGAAAAAGCAAACCGCTACCAGGATGTTTGTTGCCAACTGTCAACTTTTAATTTAGTGAAAACTGCTTTTACTTTTGAGAGCCGGCCTCCTCAAAATGTATTGATATAAAATGGGAAACCACTCCACCTCGTGAAATCAGTTAGGGACCTTAAGATCCGAGGACGGCGACGGCGGCGAAATACCGACGTCGTTTAAAAGTGCATTTACGTTCTTTTAATCTTCTTCACGATTATTTCAACTCACTTAATTTGTCAAATTCGGACGAACTCTCGACCTAGAGTTCAATTCCTGATATCCGAGTTCAGAAAAAAATTAAACATTTCGTCGTCTTTGCCATTGCCGTGGTCGGATGTTAAATTTGGACGAACTCTCGACCTAAAGTTCAATTTCTGATATCCGAGTTCAGAAAAAATTAAATATTTCGTCGTCTTTGTCGTCGCCGTTGTCGGATGTTAAGGTCCCTCTGCTCAAGCTCACCAATAATTCGTTAAAAAGAAGAAACAAAAGGAAACTGCCACGGTGGAAGAGGTCTGGATATCGCATACTAGATGCCATAATTTTTTTGCTAGTTTCTCTGTTTGACTGGCTAAATCAATCAAGAGACAGAGTGTTTTATCCGATATCCAAACACTTCGAAGAATCAGTGCAAAATGCTCCGCTACTTGCAACGTGCTGAATATCTGGTTAAAAATGGGAAAAATGTTACATTAACCCCCCATCCCCCCCCCCCAAAAAAAAATAGACAAATAAATAAAACTGACGTTTCGAGCGTTAGCACATTGATCCATCTGCTCAAAGTATCCGGCGTTGGAGAATTGATCGCAACGCAGTTGATTAAACTAAACTTTAGTAAAACTGGAAAAAAGTAATTTATTTTCAACTCCTAGGATAAAACAGGCATTTGCCAGTGATTTAATATTTACGATAACTGTTTTTTTTCTTTTTATCCTTTTTTCAGTTTTTATTTGTTTTATTATTTTTTTAATATTAAATTATATAAATTTAACTTGGTGAGAATTGGAATGCGAAACCTTCTTGGGAAGCAGATGCAATTGAATACAGTCAAGATGAATTGAAGAATTGAATTACAAGAGCACATAATACCAATTCAAATTTAAAGAATAAAGCGATAAAGTAAGCGCATACACGCCTACGAGTCGGCGTTGTTATAACACACACTCGTGGAACGTGTAAAATTAAGGCGGAATTACTTGATTGTAGGCGGGAGCTCCGCTTGTAGGCAGGTACATTTTACCCGTAATGGCGGAATACCATTGTAGAGTAGAAGTAAATAACGTTGACGAGTAACACATCCGATAAGAAGGAGATGGAAAACTTTTTTTAGGATAAATGTGGCATTGTTGTTTAGATTAAAAAAGAAATAGCATTATACCTTGCCTCCCAAGATCAAGCTTAAATTAAAATCAAATATGAGGCAAATTGCGTTCTTTAGTTTGCGTTTCATAGGATTAGCTGACAAAATGATCTGACAAAAGACTAGTTTTGTTAACAAACTGTTTCTTACTGATTATAATCTCTACAAATGTTAATGCTTCTCCATTGACTCCTCTTCCCTTTTTTCTTTTGTGTGTGTGTGTGTGCCTAATGAAAACATAATATTTAGATTTCACAGAAGAGCACCTTTCAGCTGCGCTAATGATATCTTCTTTTAATCTTTGTAAAAAATAAAACAAGTAAACTAAAGACATTTTGCGTTGTACTATATCTTTGCCGAGAGATGCATATATAGCCGAAAAAGGAGCTATCGTGTCTCATCAGTTTCATTAGTAGATCATTCTAAATTTTTTCACAAATTGCCTATGGGCGAAAGCCTCAGGCAGCTGAGTGAATATTTACTCACCATCGTCAACTGACAACTAAAAGATATAATTCATATTTACTTCCATAGAAAGACGATGCCCTTGATCTATAAACACAGTACATCCCGATTGTAGAATAGCCCGGAAATTCATATTTGAGATCGTCTTTGTGTCAAAGAGAAAGGAAATATAAGAAAATAGGTCGAAACGTCGAGCTCAAAAGGGTCCTACAAACGCTTGCCGACAAAAGAAGCGATTTGAAAAGAAACTTCACCAAGTGTAAGATATATTGCACGAAACAGCGTAACAATACCTATTTCGCTGTGTAATTACATAGATAATGCTGTCTGCTTGAACCATTAAGGTAATACTCCTGGTTTTCAGAGTTGATATGTATAGCCACTCTTGCGGTTTGAGGGTATTATGAATTATTTTTAATTAGTAGTAGTTATATGCTACTTTCGATCTAGTAGCCGAGATTAGTAGTTTTCGTGTAATTATAAAATTGGAGCAAATCTCCCCAGAGCGCTTGCTTCATTGCTGTATACCCGATTTTTCTCTTTTTCGTATATTTTCCTTTTTTTCCCGCTTTTCGAGATTCTGCGCACAGAAAACCGCGTAAGGGAAGACAGTAGAAAAGGATTCGAGCTTGAACTAATTTATATATTTCGATCCGAAGACTAAACCGACGAAAGATAGCCTTTAGGCACCTAACTCCCATAAGTTCTAAATTACGGAGTAAAGGTTTTTTCCTTTAAAATTAGCGATTTATACAGAGGTTTTGTTGAAACTAGGCTAAAGAATATTTGTCAAGTTCAGTATCGATAATCTCCAGTTTATATAGCTGACATTTCAATATTTAGGGCTGAAATTATGAAGTCACATAAATCAAAGCTTTCCGACACTTGTAAACTAACCCATCGCATCTTAACCACCAAAGGCAACCTCTGTGTCATGAGCTATGAACTTCACTTTAAAAGCCTGACAGACTATTGCAGTTCAAACGAAATCTATAATACCTTTAACTTCATGATACTGTTTACTTTGGTTCTAAGGGCAATACATAACGCGAAAGAAAAGTGAGGATAATTCTTTTTTCTTGGTGTCGTTTAAATATTGAGGAAGGTGCTCGACCATCTCAGTATAGAAAAATTATGAAAGTAAGCCATGGAGAAATCAAGAAACAAACAAGCTGTATCAAATACAGATGGGATATTCAAGATAATACGTACTTTAATTGTCGGTTTGATTTTGGACAACTTGTAAGCGCGACGTTGCGAAGCGCTCGCGTTGTCATGCAAATCATAAAAAACAACTGCGAAAAGCGCCAAAGGCCAGCTGATTCAACAAACTTTTTTCGCGTTCCCTACATCGCATACACTTCTTTGTATTTTAAAAATCGAATAACCACTTAATTGAACTTAATTGTTACTTCTCTTCTTCTCTTCCAGATATAGAACGCGACAAACGGCCACTAAAGCCAAAGAGAAATAACTTTGCTGAAGGGACTTAAACACGCGTACATTTTTATTTAACAACCGATGAGTATATGTCATAAATAGGAAACAGAGCTCAAACTGTTTGTGCAGATTGCCGACAACCAAGTTACCGGGCAGCAACATATCAAGACTTAGTAGACCCCAAGCGAAGGAGATATGACCATCCTAAACAACGACTCCCATACTGGGAACGGAAGTTTTTTGCCCTCTGCAATACCCACCGATACCATTCCTGCGATAGTTCTAACGTTATTCATTCTATTCATCAACGCGTTTGTAGTTCTGCTCATCGGGTCTTCCTCCAGCTTGAGATCAACAAGCAACATTATTCTCGCCAGTTTGGCGTTATCCGATTTTCTGATGGGATTGGTCGGAATTCCTCTCGTCGTCGCCTGCAGCAGTACGTTTGCGTCACCCGTTTGCCTGAGTGCCAATTTATTTTCAACATTTAACTCTGTGTCGTCAGTACTACACATCTTGGTTATGACTTTCGACCGCTACATATTTATAATGTGGGCCTTGCGTTACCGTGAAATCTTCAACCGTAGGCGGGTTTTCGCCATTCTTAGTGCTGCCTGGTTAATCAGCTTAACGCCTCAGTTAGTTCGCCTTTCATGGACTGCGGGGAAGCTTCGCGTCGAAACGGCGAAAGAGGACGTTAAACTACGCATGAAAGAAAAGGAATTAATATTCTTCACTTTTAATGCTGCAGTCTTTTTCTTCGTTCCCCTCATTGCAATGATCATTCTTGATACGCGCATGCTGCTGCTGTTACGAAATCAGTGTCAAAGAATCGCCCGGGAAAACTTGCCGGCCGAGAGCATCAAACACGAAACCAAGATGCAGAAAAGGCAAATGAAGGCTGTAATTACATGCGTACTGCTCCTCTCGCTTTACGTAACTTTCTGGTTGCCTTCTTTTATCGTGGAATTTTTACAACATTATGCCACAGGTGATAAATATGGGCAGTCGCACGGAGTTATGATCTTAATTACTTATCTCAGGTTTTGTCCAGCGTTGTTCAATCCGATAGCATATACTCTTAGAAAGCCTGATTTAAAAAGAGCCGCTAGAAGTATCGTTTACAAGACTTTCCCTAACTGGAAAACCCAATTCGTAGAGAATCGGACAGAACAAATTCCTCTGGCTAGTCGAAGTGAGGTCTGAAGAACGATTGGGAAAAAAGACATTATTTAACAAGTTTTTTCTTTCTAGAAGTATTTAATACCATACTTTGCGACGTTCTGTTCGGTCCAGTAGCATATACTCTTAGAAACTGAGCTTGATTTAAACGAGCAGCTTAAAGCAACGTTTACAAGGCTTTCCCTGACTGGAAAACCCTGAGTTCGTAGAGAATCAGACAAAGTAAATTGCTCTGGCCAGTCGAAGTGACGCCTGAAGAACAGTGGGAAAAAGGCATCATTTAATACATTTTTTTCTTACTATAAGTATGTAATACCATACTTTGCGAAGTTTCCTTCCGTCCGGTGGATATACTCTTAGAAAGCTTGATTTAAAAAGAGCAGCTTAAAGCATCTTTACAAAACTTTCCTTGATTGGAAAAACCCCGAGTTCGTAGAGAATCGGACAAAGTAAATTCTTCTGGATGGGGAATTACCTGAAGTATTTACGATACTTTCCGAAGTTCAGTAATTATTATTTAATCCCATGCACAATGTTTAATGTGACCCCAATCATATAAGATCTTTAAGAGCTTTAGCAGGGTGTAGCTTGATCATTGGTTATTCGTAGTTTCTTTTTCCCCAACGAGAGGGAATCCGAGTTTATGAATCCGGAATCTGGGAAATGTTTGCTAGTAGAAGCAGGAATCCTGGAATCCAGAAAACAGCTCAAGGAATTTGGAATTCCACTAAAAATTGAATTCTGCAATCCAAGTCCACCGACAAAGAATCCGAAATCCAGTACCTGGAATCCGGAATCCAAGATGTGAAATCCATTATAATCCAAGACTGTCTTGGATTCCTTGACATGAGGCGATTCGTTAATTATTGTTAATCTTATTCGAATGTTTAGAGTAGGAAATAAAACTATTGAACGGTTTGAGGTGGCGGGAGAGTTAAATTCGACGAAGTTTTCCATTGCCAAGAGAACTGAATCGAAATCTCGGAAAAAAGACCTTTCTCATGGTCAGCGGAAAGTTCTGAGCACAAACGGAAGTTTATCTTTTTGTGTAGATTACTTTTTCTGTGCCGTTTAAATTATAATGACTTGGGATAAATTCGGTATATATCCACTGAACAAGGATTGATCTGTGAAGTCATCATCATCCTAAATTGCAAACCATGGCAATGATTTAGTAGAAGTTTCAAGCGATAAAGATGCCCTTTGTACTCTATTCAAACGATGAATTCCATGATTGAACGAGGTCATTAAAGCCGTATTGATTGTCTTGAGTTAAACCCCGCTTAGTCGAGTGAGCTTTAATGCGGAAGTCGCCAACGGGTGACACAGTAATCAGATCAGGTTTCAGACGAAGAGATCATAGCAAACCACTGTCACAGATTCGAAATCTAAGCGCCCTGAGAATGAAGACACTTAGGCACCCTATTGATAGCCCTCAGAACGTTATATTTGTGCGTTTTTCAGGCGAAAGAAGACAAGCGCGAGGCAGGGGTAGAGCGTGAGATATGCGCGACGGGCTTCCTCTTAGCTTCTACTGATGAACAATTAAGACTAGATATTTCCTGCAGCAACAATTTGCTATTTGTCTCCGAGACATCGAAAAGAGTATCAACCTGTTTGGAAAAGGGTCTCGTCATCCTTTGACCAAGAGAATAGCACACCAAATTAAAATGATTATACACCAATTAGGAACATGTTTAAAATTTTGCGAGGACATTGTGAACTGAAAATAACTGAAGCAAAAAGGGATCGAAGTTCAAAATCCCTTTTATGCAAAGATTGAAAGTCCCTTAATAATCTCGATGATATTCTTCAAGATTTATAATTAAAATCTCTTAATTTGAGGATATAACTCGGCAACATCATTGAAAACAAAGTAAGGAAAGTAATAGCAAAATGTTCTTCTAGGGCTAAAAAAAATTACCGTAACTTATTTTTAAACAAGGAATAGATAAGAAGAAATCAATGTCACGGGGGAGAATGAATTGTTAATCCTAATTAGGTGTTCCTTATTACCAAAATCTAATTTATTTTTACTTAATCAAAAGGCTTAATCAAACATGTTAGAAGAATAAAGGAATGAGAACCGCAGAAAATGTCACTAGTTTTCATAAATTGTCATAGAGTGACGGGCTAACAAACAATGCTTCAAATCTAGATACATCTGTGCTCTTATTACTGGCACAAAAACAACTTTATGTTTATTGTTAATTACTTCGTTGTGTTAATTGGGAGGAACTGAATAAAGAGACTTCTTTTATCCTCGGGCGTCGAAGAAGCACCTCCGTCTCCTAACACTTGCTTCTCACTTGGGGCAAGAAGTTAGATTAGGGCATGGGTGGCTAGGTGGGCGGTTCCCTAACATGGCCTCACATAAGCGTAAAGGCTGGATTTGGCTGGGCGTTTTTGTGGCGCTATTAGAAAATCCAATTTCCCCAGGAGCCCATAACTCGGAGCGAACAACTTCCATGCGCTCCTGTCACGGCGTTTTCACAGAGCAATTTATTTTTAGAACGGTTTGGCGCGAATTTTGAATATCTTTTAAATTCTAAAACCAGTCAGCAAAACCTACAGACCTAAAAATGATATCTTTTTCCTTTTAATAACGTTTAGTTGTCCTTTTTGATATCTTATACTTCGAATGCGCTCATAGACGTGGTGGAGATTCTATTTTCGCGGGGAAAAGTGCCCAAAAATGTGTCTAAAAATAAACTGGTCCGTAAAAACACCGTAACATAGGCCTAGTAAGGGAGTTGCTCGCTCCGGGTCCTGATTTTTATTGTTGATTACTTTTGAATCCCAGTGTAACTAATTAAACCCTGGCTAAGACCCAAAGGGATGTTCAGACAGTCGCGTCTCTGACATTTTAGTTACTTACAGCAGCAGCAAATGTAGCAAACGAATGTGAGTAAAGAAGTGTTACCTCCTAGAGTTGGGGTCCAGATGAAGAAACTGCATATGGTATTGTCCATAATATCACTTCTCACAATCGCAAGGAACAACCTTAGTCCTCCCCGGCCGGGGATAATCTCTACAGGTCTTGATTGTGTCACACTAACAGCACGCTGTTTGCTCGGTCCAGATGCCATGAGAAAAGTTAAGTCCCTTGCAGCCCGGCGATGTCATCGACTGTTGAAGATTATATTGTGCTGTAAAGTACACGAGACAGCTGACTCGTCAATTCCTGAGTAATGCCAATAGCTAGATTCTAAAGCTTGTGCGCTTTCTTTTAAGCACTTTGTTGTCGTGGATCACCGCCACTCGCAATTCAATAGACCTTGCGCCATTTTGCACGCACTTAAAGACTGACGGGATAAAAACGATGTCACGTGGTTTCTCAGAGGGCAAGTAAGTGATACAGTCTGCCGATACAAGAAATTGAGGTCGAGTTTGTTTATTCTAAACAAAAGAAAATGAATAGACGCTAGTAGAAAATTATGAGTGAAAGTGATCATGGCTAATACATTTTTGGATGCAGTAAGGAACACAAATGTTCTCACCGCAAGCAATAATGATGTTAAACTTGTGGATGACTCGAGCTGTAAATTTGCATGACTAAAATCGTCGTCGAATTGAGAGAGTAAAGAAACTCGACCGCGATTAACCGTATTGGCAAATTTTACTACGTATTTGCCCCCTGAAATACCAGGTGACATCTCCTTCATCTCATCAATCCTGAAGCTCGTGCAAAGATGATGAGTATCACGAATAAAGTCTATTCGGAGCTCTCTCTCCAGAAAGGAAATACAAACTTATTCCAGTATTCAAATTATACCGCCATCAATGAATTTTTCATCAAACATAGAACGCCTACCTCGTATTTCCCACAGAAAGGTTTGCAATTCTCCAATGAGCAAAGCAAATGATTTTACACGTTTAAGGTCCAGAGCTTGTATATACAAGGTATGAGATGCAAGTGACATTACGCAAGGTATATGCAAGGTATAAGACGCAAGTGACATTACGCAGACGTAATGAGATGTTGATCATTAGCCCACTTTGTTTGTATGAGACATTTTGTCCTAGATGTACACCTTAAGGGTGAATTTATTTGCGGCATAGCGGTCGCATTTGTCCTCTGGAATCTTTTCTATTGTTTTTGAGCTCAAAATAATTTAAAATTTCGGCGGGAAAATGCAATGGTCATACATGTAGCTGCGAATGCATTCAGCCTAAGACGAAGTCTTTAATTGTTCCATTTAGATTAAATTTTTCTTTCACACTCATGTTCATGGCATATCAACTTTATATAGTAAAAACGGAATTAGCCGAATGTTTAATTAACAAAAGGACGGCTGGAGAGGATGAAAGTATAAACACTCTTTTTGACTTGCAAAATTTTACTCACGTCACCAGCAGCTACGCAAATTAATCCAAAAAAGTGCTCACGCAAGAAAAAAGAGTTCATCTCCCGTACTACACCAATATGGCCGCCGTTTCATCTGTTTGTAACACCAGCATGGCTGAGGAGATGTCATGCGAAAACGCTCCTAGATTTTAGAACTGACAGTGTAAATAACATTTATTTCTGTCTGGATCTTTGGGGCTACTAGATTTAATTCATTTGTCTATTTTTTGTTTGTTTATTTAATAGGTACTTGTTTATGTTTTCTTTATCCCAACCACATAATTGCTAAGGTTACGCGGGCTTAATAGAGACGGGAGGGGAGCATATTAGAAAAGACGATGGTACCAGTTCTCTATAAAGAACAAGGATACAAAGTGGAAAAGCTCAACTACAAGAAGTTTTAGGTCATGCAGCTGAGGATCAGAATCAAATCAGAACTTCCAGTTGGTAAATAAACCATCCCGGATCAGCCCACACGACGTTTTACAGTCGTGATTGATTAATACAGTTTATCATTTATTAATGAAGAATACTGAGAGGAGGGAAGGTGGGCTTAATAGAGAGGGGGCTTATTAGAGGGAAGGGGCTCAATAGAGGACTTACGGCATCTCATCTCAGGTGGCCATCCTTTTTCATAGACGCCTTTATTCTCGGCCAAAGATAATC